GGTCAGGGGAAGGCAGACACCGGGTGACCTCACTTGCGCGTGGGATCCAAAGAGCAACATAAACGACCAGTGACTCTCATCATCGATGTTTCGCTCTCTCCCCCTCTCCCTCCTTCTCTCTGAAATCAAAATATATATTTTTATTATTTTTATTGTTATTTTTAAAAATATATCTTTATTGATTTCAGAGAGAGGAAAGGAGAGGGGGAGAGAGAGGTAGAAACATCAATGATGAGAGAGTCACTGATCGAGCCCACAACCCGGGCATGTGCCCTGATCAGGAATCGAACCCCGATCACCTGGATCCTAGGTCCATGCTCAACCGCTGAGCCACCCCCGGCCGGGCCAAAATATATATTTTTTTTAAAAAAAGAAGAAAAAAGAAACTGTGTCTCATGGGCACTATCCCTAAAAATAAATAAGATACCAGGGAGCTCCTAAGTTTATTGATTTTCACATTCAGGGGCAAATAAACATCTGATCTCAGTCCTCTGGCTGTGATGGCCAGGATCCTGGCATACTCCCAGCCCCCAAATTATTCACAAATATAACATGGAAAACCTGAAGTCATGGAACAGGGTTGAATCTACTTGGGGATTTAGACCCAAAGAAATACTGCACCATAAAAATACCATGGAATCATAAAACTGCCGGATTTAAGTTCTGCAAGCTTAGGCGTGAAGCGAAACTCCTCTGAAAAGGGTCACACCGTAGGCATCGCCCATGGAGATGCAGCCACAGTGACATTCAGGGCTGAAAGAAGGGACCCACATCCCCTAGAGGCGCGTCTTTCCTCGTTCGAGGGGCCATTTGGGATCTGTCAGTTACCAAAGGCAGCCCTAATCCAGGTAAGGGTGCATCTCCTGGCACATGTTCCACAAATACAAGATTTAAAAAAAGAAGTGGCACATAATTCCTAAAAATTATGAGAAGGAAACGTGAAAATCTGGTTAATATGAAAGCATCACTCACTGGGAAGGGGACAGAGGTAGATGAAGCACAGTTTCCTGCAGAGAGTCATCTGAAGCCCAGGCGCAGAATTTCTACTCTAAGGAAGTTAGGAAACTCTCCCCGCTCCATCATCTGGGGTGGTGACCCCGGCTGGGCCCCCGAGGCATCCTGGGGAGCATGATTTTTACGTCATCACATCTCAAGACAAGATCTCGTCCTTCACTCAAACCACGGCAGCCCCACAGCTGTACCTTCTTTGCCCTGCAATGTCTCACCAGGGGGTGGCGTCTTTAATCTCTGGTCCCAACGGTACTGAAGATCTGAGGGACTCACCGCAGGACTAGGTAGTTAAGGGGGCGCCGGGGGAGTGGGATAAAGGGTCCTCTTTCCCATTCGTTTTTGTCACCGAGGACAAGATTAGGACAGTACTCAAAGGTGAGCACTCCATCTCTTGTGTCCGCATTGCTCGTGGTTCTGCAGCTCCGACATGAGGAACGTTGCCTGTCCTAACTCCGAACAGCCGCCTCCCTTAGTGCACGGGCCGGCGATTCACCGAACAGTCAAGTCCGAGCAACTCGGATTCCTTGTCCTCAAGAACACTTCAGATTTTACACGGAAACAAGATCTTACTACGAACCAGTGCTTGGCTGGATCTTCCAGTAAACCAGAGATGAAAAGCGTGGCCTTGCTCATAGCCTGAAATTTCCCCCCTAAAATAATAAAAGCTAGATGTCAGGTATCAGGCTGTGCATCATTTTAATTCAGTCTCCCGTATGAGCAAAGCATGTATCTGAATCTCAAACTTCTGGCTCCCACTGCAGGTCCTTCGATTATATGGAGTTCATTTATGACACCCAACTACCACACCACCTTAGCAAATTCAGAATCATCTACCAGAAACGAATTTAGATCTAACCAATTACATACCAACTAATCACAAGATGTCTCAATTTAAAGCAAAGCTCAGGTATAAAATAAAAGTTTTTCTCATAAGGCTCCTATCTTCTGAGTCACTCGCGAAGAATTAGCCATGATAATATCCATGTTTCCTTAAAGAATAAACCTAAATAAGGTAGAGACTAGTTTTATTCGTCCAAAGGTCTGTTTGGAATTTCAGTTAACCCTGGAACAACACGACTTTAAAGTGCAAGGGTTTTTACTCGGATTTATACTTATACTTGGATTTTTTTCAATTGGCTTGTGCAGTTCACATGCAAGTTTTTCAAAGTCAGCTTCAAGGCCGAGGATCCTCGTATGCAAGGGGCCCAAGGCCGGGCCATTCTATGCAGATTTCCCATTGCGAGAGAGGTTGAGGCCCTAACCCCCTACTGGTTAAGAGTCAACTGTGTATCTCTCTCTGTTAACCATTGAAGGGAGGGGAATTCCAGATTAATTTTATTTTTAGTAATTCTCCCTCTACCTGTTGTTTTATACCTGATCTTACCAAAGATTCCTCTTTCAACTCAACATTGTAAACCGATGATTCTCTCCTGTGCTGAAGAATTTTTTAGCTTAGCTCTTTAGTGTCTCATTCTACACTATTTAGGTATTTCTTACCCAGCCCTGTGCCCCCCCAGAATTTAACAGAGCAGCATCTTGCCTATTGGTCCAGCTCCAACTAACATGGTCACTCTTGTCTGTGGTCATTCATCTTTTCCCAAAAAGTCCCCTGCAAGGGCGAAGCTTATACACTCAAACCCCTGCCATCCTGGGACCATTTCATATTCCCAAGGTAAGGCCAAGGGCATGAACATGAAGACAGCTCCCCCGGCGAGGCTCCCAAGCTACAAGCTACGGCAGGCTCTGCATTTCCTCTGCCCCGGCATCTCCCGTTGGTTCGCTGTGAGCATACGCCCTCCAACCTTGGATGGGCGCTATGGTTTCAGATTTTCTGCTGTTAGAAATGGTGCCACCACAAGCACTCGGGTATACGTATTTTAGGGTGCACATGTATGAATTCTGGTCTACTGTGCACCTGGGATAGGGTAGTGGACATGAGTCTTCTAAACACACATATAGTTAGGTTTCAATTTTTTTTTAAATATATATTCTAGCAAGTGTTTGTTGCTGGAAAGACCCTTCCCCTCCTGGCTAGTAACCTTTCATATGCTTAATATCCAGGAAAACCCTCCTTTGGGAGGCACCTGTTTTCATGCCTCTGTCCCCCTTTTTAAAGGTAAAGATTTACTGTGCTTTTTGGACAATGGTCTTTCATTGAATATCCCTTTTTGCCAAACAAAAGGTTTCGTTCTGATGCAAACCTTCTTCAATGTCTCCCATTGTGGTCGGTGCTCTTGGTGTCTAACTGGAATCCTTTCCTGTCACTGAAATAATGGAAACATTTCCTGTGCTATGCCCAAGAAGACTTTCAAATAGGTCTCCATTCACCTACAAATTATTTGTGTGGTGCTTTTTTTTTTTTCCTTCTATCTTCACCAGAGGATATTTTTTCCATTGAT